GTAGTAATTTTATAAATTTAATTGAGTACAAGGCTACAAAGATTTATAATCAATGGAAAGTATTAATTGAGAAAACAAAATAAAAATTATTAAAGGAGATTCAAATGATGTTTTAATATAAACAAAATTTTTTTACATCTTGCCCCAATCTTTAATATTTTATGGCTACGTGATTAGGGTTGTCAAAACGAATCTTTGTTGGGGACAACTCGTGGTCGCTAAACAAACAAGCCGAACACGAACACACTTTTTGAGCTCGAAATATAAACGATCTCGTTTGAGTTCGGCTCATTTACACCCCTACTCCTACTTGCACACTTCATCACTACTACTCACTCTCTCTTGCCTCATATCTCTAGTGTCTGGTGAGTCATTGAAGATTGAGATCACCTCCAAAGTGTGGTATGATTCAAACTCTCTAAATGACACATCTAACCCACAAAGAGTCTCTTCTCAATTGAACTCCAATAGACATAACGCTTCTGAGTAACAAAATAACCCACAAACACACTTTATATAGATGACCAGTTGTCTTTCACAAAACATACATATCCAAATCCTTCAAAGGAAGGATCCCGCTATTATCTCCTTTCAACATCTGATAACGAGACTTCCACTCTAATACTATTGAGGGCATCATGTTAATCAATTGAGCGGTTGTTGACACTGCATAAGTGCTTTGGGACATTCATTGTAGTCATCATGCTCCGGGCTATCTCTAGAAGATGTCGATGCTTCATTTCTACTACTTTATTCTATGTTGGCGTGTAATGGCATATAATTTGATGTTGTAACCCTTGGAATGACAGGTGGTCCGCAAATGTTTTGTTGATATATTTTATCTCATTATAAGATCTCAATACCTTCACTACTGCCCCAAATTGGGTCCGACTTTTCTTCTGAAAATCTTTAAAGTAAGCAACTATCTCACTCTTCTGTTTCATCAAGGATATCTAGGTAATGCGAGAAAAAAAATCAATAAAAGAAACAAAATAACGATAAATATTCATAGAACTAGTAGGACAAGGTCCTCATACATCAGACTGTATCAAATCAAACAAACCAAAACTCCTATTCTAATAACTGACATAAGAGCTTCCAAGTAAGCTTGTCGAACTCACAAGCATCACACACCAGTTTCTTCGTATTTTTCTTTTCATACATAGATGGATACCACCAACTCAATAAACTCAAACTAGAATGACCCATACGTCTGTGATGTAACAGTAACACATCCTTCATGTTCCTCCCAGATTCACCTACGAAAACACTTTCTACCATGGATGTTAGCGCTGAGTCCATCCCCTCTCGGTCCAAGTACCAGAACCCGCTATGTTCTAATCCCAAGTGTCCGACCCGTCCAATTCTCTTGGAAGATCACCTGAGAAATATCAAAAGAAACAATATAATTTAATCGGAGAATAATGACACTAATAGATAAGAGGTTTACTGGAAAAGGAGCATGCAAAATATTGGAAATAATCATATGATTGGTACATCTCACTGTACCCTTACCAACTACAGGCTGCGCTGTACTATCAACAATCTGTATACTCTCTAGTACTACTAGATGAGTATATGAAGAGAACCCTCTAGCAATACGTGTCGAGAAGCACCAAAATCTATGATCCATATGATCCTATGGTGGAAATAGAGGCAAGAGAAAGCATGTCACCAATATCTTTCCTGAGGTGAGCACAAGTGGCAATGTTACCCCTTGATGTCTATGGATTGGAAAAATTATCATCTCCATCTCCTGCTACTTTCTGCTTCCTCTTCAACAGCTCCAGACACTAATGATCCTCACTAAAAGATCACACTATTTGTCCCTCATTTGTCCTCTGGTACCATCAGATTTACTCGACAGCCCCCTCTTACACCTTTCCAACCCCCACAACCACGACTACGACCTCTAACTTGTCCACGCCCACCTATCTCTCTCTTAGGAGGCTTCAGGGAAGCCATGCTCAAATGACTAACTTCACCACAGTTGTAGCACTTGTGAGTCTTCTCCTAGACACCTAGTATATCTAAGCTCGCAGTAGCCAATGTTGAT